ACTATTTCTGACTCCAAACATCACCGTGTGCTTTAGTTTTATTGCTAACATGTCTGTGACCAGGCTGGATCGTGAAGTCTCGTCTTTTTATTTTCTGATTCATATAGTTGCCTCCTCTGGTCACTGTTAGAGTCAGAGACACTAAATCAGTCTTCCTCTTCAGGAACCGCTTCAGACTTCAACTCTGTGCTGGTTTGGCCCAGGCTGTGTTTACCTCATCTGACCAGTGGTGATGTCACAATGGCGACATCCATCTTTGACAGTCTGTCAAAGGTTCTTCTTGCCTGTGATTTGTCCATTAGATCTGATTCCACATTCATGTCTCCCTGTGGGTCCAAAACAGCAGCTCTGAAGTGCTGGAGATCGATGTCACTCCACCATCGCACCGGTTTCCCAGCAGGACGCTCGCTTCACCCGACAGCTCTGAGGGGAAGTGAAACAAAAAGCTGATGTTGTTCTCATGCGAAGGCCTGAGAACACTTCCCATTAAGATGTCATCATCTGCTGCGAAACTTCACAGCATAACCTGAAATGTTTTCCTCTGTTAGTCCAGACTGAAATATCCCAACGTGTGTCGTCTTCATGAGTTTCAGAGACTGCAAGAAATCCTGACAGCGCAGACACTTTCTGCATTATCAGCATCCTTTATTTAATGCAGATTTTCAACATGTTTACAAGAGCACGACTGGAAATGGAAAAAAACAACAACAATCCTCACTTCAGCCACTGCAGTGTTAATATACTGTAAACGTGTTATTCACACTGTGACAAACAGAAACGAGGTGAGCGAGAGGAAAAGCTGACGTTTATGCAGAGTAAGCAGTGAAAATGTGAACAGAGCGCGTGGGCCTGCGAGGATGAAGCAGCCAGTCTCAAAATAATGCTGCGTTTCCTTTACCGTTTGAAACGGCTGCTGCTTTCTGCAGGTTTCCGCTTCCTCTGCAAAGATGTTCTGAAACATAACGGCCCCAAACTCCTGCTGTTCACCTGATGGATTAAATTTTTTTTTAAAAAAGATGATAAACTTGTCTTGAAGCTCGTGTTTCAGCTGGTATCTGTGTCTGTGTGATGAAGCCCTGCAGTCTATGGATGCAGCCGCGTATCCAAGCTAGCTGAGGACTCAACTGTCCAAAAACATCCAACACAGCACGAGCCAAACTATCAGTGCCTCAAAATGCAGGTTAAACACCGACTGCAGATGTCAGGGTAACTAGCTCCATCTTTTACATACAGTCTATGGTTTAACCAGTGTTAATGCATCCCAACCCAGTGTGCATACTGGGTTCAGTCCTGAGTTCTGTTATTCACCTGAAGGAGTCCTTAAAGCAAATGTGTGATGCACACATTAAGGTTTTATGATTGTGTGAAAGAGGAAATGAAATGAGGATGTGAGAGATGCATTTGCATGCGTTAATGCTTAAACCTCTGGGAATCTGAGATCACTGTAGTAAGTCCCTTTAGTACAACAGAAATACTACAAACAACAAATGTTTCATCTCGGGCAGTGAAATCAATTAAAATCATACATGCTGGTTTCTGTTGTCTTTGAACCTTATCTTCCATTTTTCTACAGGATGTGGTGACGGGCTCAAATCAGCCTCCTTGTCATGGTGCTGCATGCCCAGTTGTTTCCAAGAGTACAGTATGTTTTTAATGATATGGTTCTACACATCAGAAAATTATTAAAATCATCGTTCTGCCTCTGCTGAAGTGTGACCGAGGCCGTTTCTGTTCCTCAGTTTGGAGGAATCTGCATGCTCTTAACTAATGAGGCATGAGCTTCAAACCGCACATAACAGTCAATACGATCCTTTAAGGTGATAAACATTACACCGAGCCTAGCTTCCTTTGTGCTGTTGCTTTGCACTGTTGCACTGAGCAAATGGGGTTAAAATATGCTGAAGACAACTGAAAACGTCAATGAAACCAGGTGGGAACATGCAAGACCAGAGCTCTGTTCTCTGCATGTAACCCTGCTCAGGTACAACGAGCGGAGGGAAGCTCCACAGAAGAAGAAACCCAAAGACTATAAAAGACGAGAAAACATCATCACCCACTGGTTTCTGGGTTTTCATTTTAAACCTCCAACAACTGTGTGACCACGTTTGGATGGAGCGCCAAGTTATCTTTACTCAAATAGCATGCATATTATTATTATTATTATTATTATTATTATGACCTCATAAAAAAGGTTCCAACAGCACAAACAGTCCAGAGGTCCACTGCAGGTGAAGCCTAGCAGACAGCTAGCAGCTACAGCTGCCTGTGTCACCAACCACCATCAGTCAAAGAAGCCACGCCCCCAATAATGCAAACTTTAAGCTTCAATATAATTTAAAAAAGGTGAGCTATGAGTCATTCTCCACCTATACAGTTCTTATGGAGGGGGACATTTTTATAGAGACCAAACCTGGTTTTATAGCAAGATTTCAATCGATTGTGGGGAAATAAAGTTAATCTCAGAGATCCAAGGAAAAAACAACAAAGAAAAACAGCATTTACCAACCAGACACTGACAGAGTACAGATACTTTTAATGCACCACCATCAGGTCAAGAGCAGGATGTAAGTGAGGGGAAGAGGAAACCAGCACGAGCCTCAAACATACACACAGTATTATTTCACTGGAGGTTACGTCATCCTCACAGTCACACACACTCACGTCTTCAACACATAGCATGCACGGATGTCATCTTCTTCTCACTCGGCCTGTTTGTGTTGTCATTTGGCACTTTATTCACCGCAGCCAAGTGTGAAGAGCATGTGTACAGTATCAGCTCTGCAAACACTAAACTGAGGATTGTTTCCATTTCCAGTCCGGCCCGCATTCAAAAAGATCGCTGTGTCTGTGCACGTGTTGTTTTTTGGAAGTTCGTTTACTGTCTCAAAACATGATGAGATACTTGAGTCTGCACGAACAAACCACTGCACTCTTCAGCCTACACATGAGAACAGCAGCAGCTTCTCCGACCTCGGAGCTTCCAGGTGAAATCACAGCTGTGGTGGAGGGATCTCCGTATCCAGCATGTCAGCTGTTATTGATGAGCAGCAGAGTCTGAGCTCGTGTTTTAGAAGCAGACATGAATGTGGGATTAGATCTGACGGATACAATTGGTTCACGAAACATGAAGCAACCAAGGCCTTCAAAGCCCATTCAGCCGCCCATCCTCACACAGGGGCGTCCTTTGAAGGCGGCAGGTGGAGGAGGAAGGGCATCAGTTCTTCACTCAGTCTCGCTCAATTACTTCTGTTTGTCTTCACCTCGCAGCCCTTTGTGTTCACAACATGGAGTCAGGGGGGGTCATGTGGTTTCTGCTCGTCCACGGAAGGGAGAATTTTTCACGTGTTTCAGATTTTTTTTTTTTAACTTGTTTTTCCCTCAAAGCAAACGAAAGTGATTTATTTTTCATCTTATTTTCAATGAGGGAGGTTTTCTTCACCCAGCCCGTCTTCAAAAAGTAGTGACGTCACTACTTTTTGAAGACGGACTGATTTGTCTTTTTATTTTTATTATTATTATTATTTTTATTATTATTATTATTATTATTATTTTAAGACAAATGGGGGAAACGGGAAGTTATCATCTAACAGTACCCAGCTCCGGCTGCATCCATGGACCGTACAGAAGAGCGCACAGAGCTGGAGCTCAGCCTGCTGGGACGGTCTGTTGGCACGGAGCTCTCACAGCAGCCAGATTATGTCAGATACAGTCAGTAAAAGTGCTCCAGCAGCACAATCACGGCCCACGGGTTCCGTTCAGCCGCTTGGATCAGCCAATTAAAAAAGAAAGAAAGAAACGTCAGCGTGTGTGACGGTGGATGCAGAAAGAGCGCAAAGAAATCCATGAAATTACAGCACAGAGGATTTAAAGACGTGGAAGGTTGTTTCCCCACTTTTATTCTTTTTAAATAAAAACATCCATGAATTTTAGCTTTTAAGGCGACGTCCGTTACAAGCTGATAACGTGCAGAACTTCCGACAGAAACTCCGTTTTATGCTCATGTTTAACCTGTAAAAACAGGATTACACGTTTCCATTCACCTGGAACCAAACTTGGAGTCTGATACCCCCCCCGCACCTGATCCAGATGTGATGTTCTGCTCTTGGCTTCGCTTCACGTTTGAGGCTTCTGCACATTTTTCCTCTTATACGTCACGAAATCCAGGAAATTACACAAAAACAAACAAAAACCCACCACAAATAAAACACTGGACTATATATATATATATATTTTACAATTTAAAGTTTAATTTCACAGGATTCACATGTCAAACATCAGATTTGCATCATTCTGAAAGTACAGAACTCATTACATACAGTCGTTGTGAATACACGTGTTTTCCACAGGGTTCAATATTTCTGAATTATCATCGAGCATGTTCCGTTACTGGCCGGAGGATTGGTTGCGTTTCAGAGTTGATGAAGAGCAGGATGCGGAAAGGAGCAGGGCGCGACCCGGGCCGCGTCGCGCTCGTTTCGCCCGCTCAACACAGTAAATAGTTAAGCGCTCTACTTTATGTGATTTCCTTTTTCTGCCTTTTATCAAACACTAACGTTGTGCCCCCTGCCGGCTTCCGAATGTCCAGCGCGGATCAGATCATCCGGACCAGCCGTGCAGGAGAACCGTGGACAGAAGCAGCGGAGCGACGAGCAGCGTGAAGGCGGCGGGACTCCCGCTGGCGCTCCCCGTCGGTTTGGCAGTTGCATTCACGTTCGGGCTGTGGGAGCCTCCGCCTCCGTCTGCCTCAGCCACCTGCAACACATGAGATAACCACACGAGTTTAACGAATAGACACTGCACCAGGACACAGGAGTCACTGTCATCATCACCGCCTTCAGCTCAAATTGAATTATTCACACACACACACACACACACACACACACACACACCCTTCAGCTTTAAATCAAAGTCTGTCAGAGAATCTTTCGTCTCCATTTCTGCCAAACACTGAACTAAATTCTGAGCTGAAGCTGCAGACAGCTGCTGCTCTGGCAGTTGTGCATTTAATTATGCGCAAACAAGCTGCGCTAAGCACGGCAGTTTGCGCCTCTTCTGTGTGGGACAATGTGCAAAAAGATGTTTTAAACACGGGCTGAACTGACCTGGGAGGTGAGATGGAGAGCCAGCAGCAGGACTGCGACGAAAACGATGCTTAGCTTCTTCATGCTGATGTGATTGAAACTGCTGCGCGCGGTGAAGGAAAGGCAATTGAAACAGGAGGCGCGCAGTCGCATCTTTTATAGCCCCCACCCAACCGACACAGAACTGCCTTCATCATGCTGCATTCAGGCGCTGTCGGAGATACAGCTGCTCAAGGAGCAGAAGACAGCATAATATAATCTCAGTTTAATTAAAACAGTATTTTAAACACCCTGGGATCGTCTTTCACACCAAATCCCCCGAATAACTCAAGACAAAGTAGCACAATTATGGTTCTCAGTTGTTTGTTTTTTGCTTTTCCCGCCATTATAACTACATGTTTGTTCCGTGTGCTTTTTTTGTTTGTTTGTTTTTTAAATAACCATCATTTTTTTCCTCGTGCCACGTTAAGGGGACACCCTGCATCATTCTTTGTTTAGTCTTTTTTCCCCTTTCAATCTAATGGGATCTTCCAAAACGTCAACATGCATGGTTTCACGTCTCAAATGAAAATGGACGATGCCATTCGTGGTGAAGCAACGTACCAGACACTCACAGAGATCTGTAAGATCTGTGAAGGGAAGCAGTCTTTGTTCTCGAGCCCACACATGCCCAACATTATAAGACTTCCAGAATAAAACTTTTAACCCCACAAAATTTGGATTTTTGTTCTACAGCTTCATTATCTTACCCCATTATTTCTCCATGAGCTCGAGAGCACCCCCAGTGGAAAAGGTCCACAGAGTGGGAGTTCTTGGTTAGTCCACATTGTATATTCAGTCTACAGCTTATTCTGCATTGTGAGCATCATCGTCTGTAGCCTGCTCCATTGTAAAGCGCTTTAAGTGCTCAGATGAGTAGAAAAGCGCTATATAAGAACCATTTACCATTATACACTGGTAAAATAATAACAATAATAATAATAATAATAATAATAATAATAAATAATTAAAGTAGCGTTCAAAGTTGATCAGATTTCAGTGGGGTATAAATCATGCTGAATACCTGCACTGATACTGGGTCATGTGTCAGGAATGAAAGGATGCCAAGAAATTAAAATGTAGCCTGCAGAGGGCACATACAGACACCTGGAAATAAGAGTGAAAACACACGGAGGGACAATGTCAGTGGCCTCAGTCTGTAAAATCATTCCTGACTTGGAGGTTGTCTCACTTTTAGCCCTCTGGTGCACTTGTTGTTAATTTCATTAGCACCAAAGCAGCTTAAACTGATTAGCATCCTCCTCTGCTACTTGACAGCCCAGATCTATATCCCAGAAGTTTAACTTGATGCCCTGATCGGAAAATGCTTCTTTCATTTGTTTGTATTACCCTTTAATAAGCAGGGATATAGGTTTTGAATTTTTCCTTTAATTTGTCATCCAAGGCTTCGATTAACTCACGATAGATAAATGACGACCTCTAGTGGTCAGTCGCTGTCATTGCCGCTTCAGATTCTCCTACGACCCAGCGGGACTATGTGCGTTTAAAGCTGGAGGGTGCTGAGGTGTCCGTGTATCACAGGCACCGCTCAGACCCAATGGTTTGGAGGTCAAGTTAGAGAGAAAAGGTCAAGATGGTTGGTATCATCATCATCATCATCACCACCACCACGGTTGAAAACCAGGAAGTTGACAGTCCAGTTTCCAAACATGTCAGAGTACTGTGTGTGTGAGCCGCCGGGAAGCATTTTAAACACTTTGATTTCTAGTTGTTATTACTAATAGTTACTGGTAGTAGCCATTGTAGTAGTATCCAGTTAAAACAAAGGTTACATAAATAACCTTTGTTATAGAAAAAACGCATCTTTACGTTTAAATAAGGAAATACAGTCTTAGAGTATGTCTGCCCGTTAGAGGGCGCCAGAGAGATATGTGGCATTGTATATGCTACAAAATCAAAGACGAGGAAATAAAAAGCAATAAAGGAGATTAGAGACAATAATACTGTAAATAAACCTGTTGTGACACGAGTTTCTCCGCTTCTATTCTGAAGGACTCACAGCAGAAAAAGCGAGTGTGTTATTGTGTCAATAACGTACACACACACACACGGAGGTCCCTAATCTGCGTAAAATAACCCAACTACAAACCGCTGAGAGCTTAATGACTGTGTCGTCAGCTTACTGTAGATTTAGTCACAGGTGATAAATGTCTGAGATCATTCCAAACAGACGCACATGCTATGAGAACAGCATGTGCAACAGAAGGCAACAGAAAAGGACCCAAGATAGAGCCTTGTGGAACTCCAGATGCAGAAATTTAACTGAGAAATTCCTTTAAAATCACATTTACACCAACTTAAAGCAAAAAACTCTCAACTCTATGACAAAAAGTGTCCTGTAGGTTTCACACCACATTTATTCTTTTACAAATGTCTTCAAGAGTTCAGCTAAACACAGATCTCCACTTGGTTTCTTCAACGCAGGGAAACAATATTCCACATTTTTATCCAGTCGCTCAAATTTATTTTGCACAAACGGTTGCTAATCTACAAATCAACAATTCAATTCAATTCAATTCAATTTTATTTATATAGCGCCAAATCACAACAAATGTCGCCTCAAGTCTTCTTTGCTGAGACTTCAGCAAAGAAGACTGGTTTGCTAGCTGGGTTTAAATGTGAGCTTAGCACACTGAACATATTGTGTCATTTCCAGCAGACTGAGCTGTCATGTATTAGTGAACTTTTTCACAACCAAAAATTAAGAAACTTTGGCCACAAACATCTGAATGTACGGAAACACAAAAGCTTCAAAGAACCATTTTAAGTACAGGAAGTACATTTTATTTAAACTCAAGTCTGTATCTGCATAGAGCCTTCAACATGCATGTTTGTACATTACAACCTTTTTTGTAAAAGAATTAACCAGAATAAATAAACGAATTAAACTTGCCATGTTTTTCTAAACTGGTTAAATATTTAGTAGTAAGTACGCCTGAGTATTTAGAGCAGTACAAACAAACGTTTGCTCGTGCCTGACTAGCAGCAAGCTCAGTCTAAAACGATCCACACTGTGTACTTTAAAATGTCTGAACCGTCTCAGGTTCCAGTTTTTACAGGATGTAGTGACAGGCTGAACATGTTGCATCAGTGCAGCATGTTTAAAAAGGGAACTTTATGATCGTATAGACAACAAATTACTCATCATGGCTGAGGTGCTGCTTCTCCTCTGTTCTTATTCTTGGTGAAATCTCTACATCATCTACTGTACAGCGTCGATATAATCCTTTATAACGTCGACTGAGCCGAGTCAGGCATCCTGCAAACCACCAGATTGCTAATTTTGCTGGCTAACGCCGTTTCTTCTTCAGAGTCATCACCATAAGGTCAAATACGAGTCCTGACAGTGCTGACCCTGTAACAGCTGGGACGGGCGCCAGCAACGCTGAATTAGAAAAGGAAGGAAACAAACGGATGGAATTCTGAGTTTTCGTGTAATCTAGTGGAAGGAGCCACAGCTGAGGGAAGAATCACGACACAGAGGTCATACTGTGTTCCCACTGCACCCCTCAGTGTCACCACAGTGGATCCTCTGCCATCATCTCATTGGATGCTCAGCATCAGAGATGATGGATAATCAGGTTGGCACAGTTGTTGGGTTGTCTTTGTTGTACTGCAGCATGTTGAACAAAACTGAGTGTAGGCCCTCCGGCCCATCACTCCAAAGTGGGTCGACCCACCAGGAAAACCCCCAGTATGTCAGATTACAGCCTGCCTAGCATCCTCCTCTGCACAGTTTCCACTTGTGACCAACACCAGGTCTCTTTAACCCGACTGATCCAGCACGGAGATGTTATTATTGATGATCCACGTTTGATGTGAATGCCCGACTGCCTCAGTTAAGGTCAGAGGTCATGATTCAACTGTAAGAAAAGACTGCGGGAGAGTCCAAGAAGGAAACCACTGCTGACCAAAAAGATCACAAAAGCTCATCTCACATCTGCTAACAAACATCTGGATGATACCTGAGACTTCAGTAAATATTCTGTGGACTGATGAGACAGAGGCTGAACCACTTCCTGTTAGATCTGCGTCAGACTGTCAGCGTTTCATAAAGGGAACGTCCCAGCAGCAGGCAGACACTGTGGTGATGTGATGGTCTGGGATGCAGTGTGACTGGGGGAATTGTGCTCTCCACCAGGAAACCCAGAAGGAGGATGTCTGCCCATCAGCTGGTGTATATTCCTTTCACACAGGACTGGCAGGTTTTTTGTTTTAACAAAGAAAATCTGCATTAAAACAAAAACACCACGTTGTATTCACTGACTTTCTCCAACACTGTACATCATAGGTGTCAAACTCTGGCCCGCAGCCTAATTACATTTGGCCCGCGAAGCCATACCAAATTACTATTAGAGCTGGCCTGCCAGTATTATACAGTGCACGTACTGCTAATACTACAATTCCCAGAATGCTCTGTTGGTGTTTTGGCGAGTCAGTCATGACAGGACCCATTAGCACCCTCTCCTCTGTTGACCATAGTCATAGCAACCATGCAAATACTGCCATGCTACCTATCCCAAAATGGAAAAAAGAAGAACAGGAGCTTTCTGGACAGGTGGGAGAATATGATGAAAATTTGATAAATGATAAAATTTAATTCAGAAGGCTGCAAATACATTTTTTATTTAAGAAATGAATTCCACTGATGTGTTATTTAATTGGAATTTTGATTTTGCATGTGTGCAATATTAAGTTATATATACGTTTATATAAGTTAAATATATTGTTTAGTATTAAGCTTTGCTTGTTCCATACTCAGTTTTTCAGCAAAACTTGTTTGAATCCATAAGAAAAGATTCCTTGTTATATTTGGAGGAAGATTTTTTTTCAATGAATATTAATGTTAGCCCGCAACTTTGATCCAGTTTTGAATTTTGGCCCACTGTGTATTTGAGTTTGACACCCCTGCTGTACATCATGCAGATTTATTAGCAGGACTGATTTCTGAATGTTACGATACCGACTTTACCCACAGCCTCACAGTAACATCATCGTACCCTCATCTTATCTCCAGGTTTTTGAGGGAAATGCAACCTCAGATAAAGACCATTTACAAAATGCAGAAGCACCGTCTGAAACTC